ATTTGCCTGTAGAATAATATGTGAACGGAATCCTCCCTTTACAGCACGGATTTATGCTGCAGGATTTGACTCATCAAAAAACATCTTTCTTGGGGTAAAAAGCTTTTTTTCTGAATGATGCTTTCTTTTATACTAGCTTTCATTCCAAATTACAAGTAATTGGAAGCTTACTACTATCATTTCTACTAGGAAAAGGCTGCCAAATGGAAAACATCAGATGGGCAGATGGATGGCTTGACCACTAATGGCGTTCTTGTAATGCATCCACGCAATGGGTTCACAGAAGACTCCAAGCCTGGAATATGGAGAGAAATATCAGTGTGTGGAAATGTATTTAGCCTGCGTGAAACCAGATCAGCTCAGCAGAGAGGAAAAATGGTAAATACTGAATTCTTAATTAGCTACAATAACACATAGGATGAGTTGAACTGAATGCATTACATCCATTCAAAAAAAACTCTTAAATCTATTGCCAACACAGAATATTAAGTCCATCAAACACTGACTACCAAATTCTATACTAGAGGACAGTATCTTAATATTTCATTTAGTAAACTCTAAAAGTGTATTCTTCTGTCATATCATGTTAATATATTTTAAAACCTAAGCTTTTTTAAACAGCACTCTCTGATCTTTTTTCTGTTGCCAGCTGTATATATTTGACCATATTTACCTCATTTAAAATATTAGACTTATTGATTAGCCAGATATTTTAATCATAGGTTGTCTTTATGAGGCTAAAAAGAAATATGTCAATGTTTGATATTTTATCCTTGATTTTCAAACTTTTTCATAACTACTGTCAGTTTCTTGAATAGTGAAAATCCTAGGAAATCTCATGTCTTAAGTAAGAAGTACTTAAAACCAAAACTCTTACGTAAAAATCCAAAACAGAGTGGTGAATATGTTTTTCAACTCTTGTCTTCTCTAGGTGGAAATTGAAACCAATCAGTTACAAGATGGCTCGTTAATCGACCTCTGTGGTGCAACATTACTATGGCGTACTGCAGAAGGCCTTTCCCACACTCCTACAGTGAAGCATTTAGAAGCTTTAAGACAGGAAATCAATGCAGCACGACCTCAGTGCCCTGTAGGGTTCAACACACTAGCATTTCCTAGTATGAAGAGGAAAGATGTTGTAGACGAAAAACAACCATGGGTGTATCTAAACTGCGGCCATGTACATGGCTATCATAACTGGGGAAACAAAGAAGAACGTGACGGAAAAGATCGTGAATGTCCTATGTGTAGGTCTGTCGGTCCCTATGTTCCTCTGTGGCTTGGATGTGAAGCTGGATTTTATGTGGACGCCGGCCCTCCAACCCATGCGTTTAGCCCATGTGGGCATGTGTGTTCAGAAAAGACAACTGCCTATTGGTCCCAGATCCCTCTTCCTCATGGTACTCATACTTTTCATGCAGCCTGTCCCTTTTGTGCACATCAGTTGGCTGGTGAACAAGGCTACATCAGACTTATTTTTCAAGGACCTCTAGACTAACAGACCATTGTCCTCCAAGACTACATNAAAAAATATTATTTGAGGTTAACTTACGAAGAAATTGCTGCAGTCTCAAGATGCAATACTTAGAAAAATAGCGAGCCTGGTCGGGTGCTGGACAGCAATGCATCCCTTTTTTCTTCAGCCGGGGAACTACAATTCCCAAGAGCCCACTCGGCGCAGCGACACCGCCTCCCGCCGTGGCACTGCCGCTTCCCCTCCCTCAGTCCCCGCCTTCCGGCTAGTCCCCTCCCCTCCCTGAGAGTGTGTGTCAGTGACCCAGAGGCGGTGTGCGGCGGACAGACCGTCAGGGGGCGTCGCCGCCACGGCCTCCAGCAGCAGCAGCAGCAGCGCCAGCCGAGCGAGCGGCGCTGTGGAGCTGGTCCCCAGCCCTCGGGGAGCGCGCCACAAAGTAGCCCTCACACCTCTCCCTGCATCTGCGGCTCCTCAGCGCTCGGTCTGCGGTCAACTTCCCCTCCCTGGGCTCGGCCGGCAGACGCGGAGGGCAGCAGCGGAACCGCGGGCTGTCTGCTCGCGCTCCCCGCGCACAGCACTTCACCCTTTCGCCTTGGGTCTCGGAGCCGCGCTGGGATCCCGGCCACCAGCTATTGTCCGGAAATAATGCAAAGGTGTCCCAAAGCTCCTGACCAGTGAACAAAGATTTGAGAAAGACAGCCAAGCTCAAGAAAATCATCCATCTAAAGCACCAGTAAAATATGGGGAACTCATTGTCTAGGGTATAATGGGTCTCTCCCCAATGGCGATAGAGGAAGGAGGAAAAGTAGGTTTGCTTTGTTTTCACCTAAGGCAAATGGGGTGAAGCCCAGCACCGTGCATATTGCTTGTGCTCCTCAGGCTGCAAAGGCAATAAGCAACAAGGACCAGCATAGCATATCGTATACTTTATCTCGGGCCCAGACTGTGGTGGTTGAATATACTCATGACAGCAACACTGATATGTTTCAGATTGGCTGGTCAACTGAAAGCCCCATTGATTTTCTAGTAACTGACACAGTTCCTGGAAGTCAAAGTAATTCTGATACACAGTACAAAGCACTATATCACGATTTGCCTGTAGAATAATATGTGAACGGAATCCTCCCTTTACAGCACGGATTTATGCTGCAGGATTTGACTCATCAAAAAACATCTTTCTTGGGG